AAAAAAAAAAAAAAAAACAAACAACAGGGAAGAGATGTAAACGCCCAACTGTGTTACAAACGGAGCAGACAAAACAGGGGAATAGAGAGACTGGCTCCAGGTACATTTTACTTATTTTGCTTAAATTGAATGTTAAAAGAACCATCATTGTTTGGATTTTTTTGCACTTCAAAATTATCAAGTGACAATCCCACTTTCCCTAGCAGCAAATTACCAAAGTCTTTTAATTTGCCCACCATTTCTTCCTTTTCTTTATTTAATTGCTGTTCAGCCAGGTACTTTAATTTCTTCTGTTTCATTTCGTAGTTTGCCAGCAAGGACGAATCGAGAGATATGGCTTTATTCAAGTCGTTCGACGCGTCATTATATTTTTCCAGCTGCTCATATGCATTACTCCTGCGTATGTAGGACTTCACAAAACTCTCATTATAGTTGATGGACTTATTGCAGTCTTCGACCACCTGATTCCAGTTCGCTAAATGTGAATAGCAAGCTGCCCTATTGGAGTACAGAATCGACTTGGTACTTTTATCCTTGCATTTTTTTAAAGCCTTATTGTAGTAAAAGATGGCCTCCTTGTAGTCCCCCTTTTTGAATAACTCATTTCCTTGGTACTTCATCTCTTCTATGTTCTGCCCACCTCCTCCGTCCTGGTCTTTCGCGCACTTGCCATCTTCATCCTCCTCATCATCGCCATCGTTACTATATTCGTCGTCTTCAACATCCTCGTCTTCCTCCTCGTCATAGTCCTCACTGAAGACAGACGAACTCCTCTTATCGGCGGAGGAGTCCTCACTCCTATCAGAGTCGCCCTCGTTGGAGCTCATTTCCTCCGAGTCATCATCCTCCACCGACGAACTCAGGTGCGAACTGGTATTCTCATAATCATCCTTACTTATATAATTGTCACTGTAGTAATTCCTCACATGACCATTCATGTCTTCCTTATTCAGTTCTTCGTTTATGTCCTCTCTCTTTGTCGTGTTATGTGGCTGCTTCGCATATGTGGCATTATGTTTTTCTTGGCTGTCTAAGTGGCCACTTTCTTTTTTGTCGTTGTCGTTGGCGCTTACTTTATCATTATCATGTGCTGGGTCCCCCGTCTGGGCTTTCACATAACTGATGCCTGGGAGGCTTTCCATGGTGCTTTCGCTACCCCTCCCGAGGCCCTTCTTTCCCTCCGATGCGGCTCCCACTTCGGACTTGTCCTTTTCGCTATACTGACAAATTCGCTCGAGGGATCCCTCCTTCGTTTGGGCTCCTTCCATCTGACATTTATCCGCCGTACTTCCCCCGCCGCACCGTTCGGTGAGCGCTTCCGGCTCCTTTTTGGACTCTCCACTGGATAAATTATCCCCCGCATCTTTCCCCGCGGATCCTCCCGAAACGGCGTCCTTCCCTACACCTTCGACGCTCCGAGCTTCCATTTCATCGCCCCGTGAAGTAGCATTCAAATTGTTGACTTGTGAATTAACACAAAAAGACGCAGTGTCCTCCATGCTGATGATCTTTCTTCTGGAAAGATTTTTATGTTGACCAGGCACGGAATGACAACACTCGTTTTGGTCTTCCCCTTGTGTACTTGCTATGTCATCCTCGCCAAAATAGTCACTTTTTTTTTTTTTTTTAATTTCCACAATTTTTAAATATATCCAAGTGCCTACGATGGGGATTAAAAGAAGAAAAGCATAAAACAACGTTTCCTCTTTTTGCATTTTCTGTCAAATGTTTTATATGCCTTAACCAAATCTTTATACCAAGGAGAGAAAAAGCTGCGAAGTGGTCATAAAAACACACGGCGTAATAAAAAAAAAAAGTACGCCCCCCTTGAAACATAAATACGTATCGTTTTGGGTAAAGTCCCACATGACTTAAACCACAAAGAAAAGGGGGGTTTTACATTTTCGTGATGGGACGAAAAAAAAAAAAAAAAAACAAGCGAAGTCAATTGACGTGAAGTGAAGTGAACAAAACAAGCAATGTGGCAAACACTAGAGAATAAAATTGCACCAACTGTGTACTCATATATGTATGTAATGCAATATGATGCCGTGGGCGGGGAAAATTCAGTACTGGCCAAAAATATATATATACATATATATGCCACAATTTGCTCGTGGCATTACGGACGTACCTTTAAATCATTTTAGAAACATGCTTTGTGATAAATCTCCCTACGCAGATATGGTCCGCGTGTGAAAACTCCACTTTTATATCTAACCTTTTTACACCTGCGGGAATCCTTGCACTGTCACGTGATACAAATATTTGTGTATACCCTCCTGAGTAGCAACCAACGGGGGATGTGAGAACTAGTGGGAAATTTAGGCGACGTGGGGGAGAAAAAAAAAAAAAAAAAAAAAAAGTTTGGCTACTCGCGAAAAGTTTCTTCTTTATGGGCCTCTCCTTCAGTGTCTTAACCGATATAAAGTACTCCCTTTTTTTTTGGTTGTTGCCAACGAGTTGCTGTCCCGTTATAATTAGCTCATACGGCTTGGTCACGTAGGGGAAGGAAAATGTAGTACCCACTTAAAGTGGGGAAAAGCAAAAAAAAAAACTTGGACAAAATGGGCACTCGCCTGGCACAACTGAACATCACAAACGGCAATGAAGCAAAATCGCTCATGGGTCCCCCCCCACCGACGTTGTCGGAAAATAAAAATATTCCTTCTACTCGCGTACACGTGAGAACGTCGTTTGTTTTGTTTCCCTCTGTGGTGTTGCATAAAATTATGAAGCGCTCACACGGTTGGCACTGCATATGGACGCAACATATATTTTACAAGCATATGCTTACTCATGTATATTATATGTAGCTGGCATGAGACCTACAAGCGCGTTACGAACAAACAGAATAAAATGGGTGCGGTTAATTAAGCAATGGGAAAGGAGCAAAATATAAATTACAACAACACGCGACATGAGAGTTTATTCTATATGTAGCAAAAAAATAAATATTGACACGGGGCTTTATTTTATTTTTATTTCCTAGCCCCCGCGTTGTAAAAAACCGCCTTGTTTGCACTTCGCCTGTTTGTAGCCTGCTCCAGTTTTAAACGCTGCTTTGTCCCACGACTCGCGAAAAAGACCCCTCACCACCAAAGTGCACCAATGTAGGCTAACTTATGAGTGGGAAAACAAAAAAAAAAAAAAAAAGGAAACTTAAACGTGAGCGAAACGAAAGCGAATGCGAAGTGGTAAAAAAAAAAAAAAAAAAGAAGCAAAAAAAAAAAGAATAAAATCATTCACAGAACCTTTAGCTGCAACGAGAAAGGGACGGAAAGAATCGTTCATGCGGACCTCCCATCAGCCATGCGAAGAGCTGCACGAGAGCAAACACGCTACTGCCAAATTGGCTGAAAAAGGGATCGATTGAACATACCCTAAATATATACATAGTTCTTTGTCCCCCTACCTGTGCGTGCGTTGCGCAGGGCGATCCTATATTTATCATCCCCATTGTTCTTGTTCTTCTTCCCCTATGCTGCCAAAGCGGTAAAGGGGGAAAAAAGCGCAAGAAGGGTTTTACAACCACGCCGCGACACGCACGCAAGTTATATTCTGCAGGGAACAAAAAAAAAAAAAAGGAAAGCACAAAATGGAGGAGGTGGAAACGGATGATCAAAATCATGGCGATGACACGAGTCAATCGGAGGAGGAAGAAGAAAAGCCTGTTGAGGGAGGGGAGGATAAGCAGGATGACCACTTCGAGACGGGACACAGCTTCCTCGACTTTGAAAACATCCTGCTGGATGTGAGGCTGAGGAAGGCAATATTATACCTGCTCAAGTTCAAGTACCCAACAAAAATACAAAAGGTAGCCATTCCACATATCCTCCACGGGCGAGATGTGATCATAAGTTCGAAGACTGGGTCAGGGAAAACCATGGCCTACCTCATCCCACTAGTACAGAACATACTAAAATCAAATATAAATGAAAAGGAATCCTTGAAATTTTTTTACAAAGGAATAATCCTTGCCCCCACAGAAGAATTATGTTTACAAATTTACCAAGTAGCAGAAACATTATGTTCCTACCTGAAGAATATCATATCCTTTAATCACAATATAAACAAAACATTTTATGACCATCCCACTGTCCTAGTAACAACCCCTAAACATTTGTATAACCACACTGTAGAGTGTAAGAAAAAACATAACCTCGATATATTATCTAATTTAAGAATTCTGGTTGTGGATGAAGCAGATATTCTTCACAGCAAAGAATTTCAAAAATGGATGAACCTTTTAGCTAGCCAACACCTTCCAAAAAATTATTCTCAAAAATATCAAATTGTGATGGCCTCTGCTACACTGAAGGAAAACATTGTGGGGAAAACAAAACTGTTTTTGCACAACCCTGTTTTTGTAAGTGCTGAATTGGAGAAGAATGGACGTAGCACCTCCGCTAGTACACATCACACACATGGCCTCCACAAGCAAGACGCTTCTGTCAGCAACAGTAGTAACAGTCGTTTACCCTTTAGAAAGGACAAACGGAGTGATTGTTCTAGTCTTCACAATATAAAGGAACCCCTCACCCATCAGCAATTCAGGGGCAAATCATTTTACTACCTGTACCCAGACGAAACCACCAAATATATTTACCTGTACAACCTTATAAATGACAAATTAATTTTGCACAAGTCCATTATTTTTACTTCTACCATCCATGATGCCTACAAGATAAAAATATTCCTCACTTACTTTGATGTTCCTTGTTCCATCCTGAACCCAAACCACCCCGTTTTGGTGAGACAAAACATAATTTTCGCCTTCAACAACTATAAGATGTTCTTCTTGATATGCCCCCAGTATGAGAACAATGTCGGGGCGAAGGGGGCCAAGAGCGACACGGGCGACACGGCAAGTGTGCGCAGTGGGGGGGACACAGACAGTATGGGGGATGATGCGACCAGCCACGACGACAGCGCTCATGAGGATGACGCACATGAAGACGACGCACGTGAAGACAGCGCAAATGATGCGGATGCTAACGACGAGGACGAAACGGGAAACCAGGACGACGCTACCGATGACGAGAAGGACTTTCTGTACAACCGCGGACTCGACTTCCAAGGAGTGCACTGCGTGCTCAACTTTGACATGCCCCTCGACACAAAGACCTTCGTGCACCGAGTGGGAAGGACCTGCAGGCTGAACAACAAGGGTATCAGCATTTCCTTCGTCAACGAAAATGCACCGGCGGAACAAAACATCCTACAAAAAATATGCGCAAAAAATATATGCACCATATATCAAAAGACAGTGACACAAAATAAGGTCGAGATGTACAGGTACCGAGTAGAGTCTACCCTCAATAAATGCACCAGCAAAAAGGTGAAACAATTTATTCAAAAGGAAATCCTGTATCAATCCTTGAAGTCCAAGGAGCTGAAAGAATTTTTCAACTCCAATGAAGACGAAAAAAAGGCCATCAACAAAATTGTAAAATATTTTAATACACATGTCGTGCCACACAAACTCATTAAGGACAGATTGAAAAACTTATTCTTGAAAAAGCCGAAGAAAAAGGGGATACAAAAAGAGGGTATAAGCAAAAATGGAAAAGAAAATGGAGACATGAGGATGGACAGAAAGAACCAACACCACAATGGAAAGAGCAATGGAAGAGAAGATGACAAAAGAGCAGCGCAACAACACTATGTTAAAAGTAAAAGCAGCGGGTTGGTGCTGACCGAACAAGCATATCAGGATCAGCTGAGGAAGGAACCAGAGACGGAAGTGGCCGACCCCACCAAGCTTCCCCCCATTTATGGAAAGCGCTTGCGAAATTATGTGTATAACAAGTACGTAATGGGGAAACGCCGGATGGGTGCTAGCGCGCGCGGCGGAAGGGCTAACCGTGGAAGGGCAAATTTTAGCGGCTCACACAATAGTAGCGCGCATAAGGCAAAACTTAACGGGGACAGTTGCGCTCATAGGAGTAGGCAGGACGGGACGCACAAGAAAAGGCGACACGGTAGCGCCTTCCCCCAGAAGGCCTAACCACGTAACCACGTGCCTGTGCTGCGAGAATTTGACGACGCAGTACGAGGCGAACCTGTCGACGTAGTACGCGTCGAACCCATGTTTGTATATCCCTCAATCCAAATGTGTAATCAACGCATATGTCTATTTGTTAAAACAGCATGAAGCTTTCTTTTTTTTTTATCACCCTGTCTCCCGTCAGAAGCGGCCCGCCCCCACCTGAGGAGCCGCCGATTTGTATGCCACGTGGGCCGTGTCCACATAGGCATAAAAAATTTAAACCGCTTTCCCTTCCTGTACACATTTGTTTTGCTATTATCCCCTTTTTTTTTTTTTTTTTTAAATTAAAACAAAATATAAACTTGTTAATTTTTTTCATAATTTTGCATCGGCACATCATGAAAAAGGGGGTTAGGGAAGGAAGAGCGCCCCTCCCGGTCGAACTGACCCGCGGGGGGTATTCCAAAAGTGAGAAAAAAAAAAAAAAAAAAAAAAAAAAAAGAGAAAAATAGTAATACGTAATGGAGTAACATAATAATAAAATGATGACACACGTAATATGGAAAGCGCGAAGGCCCTCTCATGTGCATGACGCTTCTGCAACATGGACCGTTTTTTTTTTTTTTTTTATTGTTCTTTTTCACTAACTAGCACTTGGTGCGGAAGGCCTTGGCTGCTATGCACCAGTCGGCGAGCAGCTTATCGAGCTGAATAACGCTGGCCAGACCACTGGCCATGGTGTTACAAGCCATGGCACCAATTTTTAAGAATTCAATTTGAACAGCCTCAGAGCCCAAGTCGTATCTCCTCAACACATTTGAAGACGTAAGAGCAACATCGAAAGGGGTGTGTCCTTCCTTTATCATGTCATACGCAATGTCATGTGCCTTTTTCCACTCACTGTTAATACAAAACTTTAGTAAATTCTCAATTCTTTCAGGAGAAGGAATATCACAAATGTTTAAGACATTTTCTTTGTTTATAACTTCTAAGCCAGCATATGTTGACTGAAGACAATTGACTGCCTTCCTTAAGTCGCCATCTGCTATAAAGGTGAGGGTTTCCAACCCATCGTCTGTGTACTTTATGTTTTCCATTTGGCATATTTTTACAATTCGCTTCAACACCTGATCATCTGATAATTTAAAGTAACGTATAATAGCACATCTGCTTTGAAGCGCGTCAATTATCTTCTCAGACTGATTGCAAGCTAAAGCAAATCTAGTGGTGTCCGAGTATAGCTCCATGATTCTTCTTAATGACTGTTGTGCAGCTGTGGTCATGGAGTCCACTTCGTCTAGTATAATAATTTTGTGTTTTCCGGGGGGCAAACTTATTATTTCCTTTGCGAAACTTTTTATTCTGTCTCTAATTACATTAATTCCTCTGTCGTCTGAGGCGTTCAATTCCAGGACGGCTTTCTTCGCCTGCGCCCCCAACATTTCACTCGCCAAGCAGAGAATGCTCGTCGTTTTTCCAGTCCCAGGGGCACCCTACAAAGGTGGACACAGTGCAGGGATAACAAAAAAAAAAAAAAAAAATGGGTTGAGCATTTCCACAAAAGGGATCTACGTGGGTGGCGCGTAACTGTGGGTGTGTTGTTGCGCTTGTGAAGGGGCTCTCCATTTGCGAAGACCCAACGGACCGCCAACACACAGCCAAACGGGGCGCTAATTCACAACCCAAAATACACTACCACTATAAATGCCCATTTTACAATTAATCTTTTGTGCAGAGAGAAAAAGTCCATATGGGCGGGCAGCTTGCGGAACAGTATATTTGTGCAGGCCCAGGGGAATCCTCAGCAGAGCACTTACAGCTAGCAGGAGGTTGGGCATATTCCCTGACACGATGATGCTCTTGAGCGTGTTTATGACGAAGGGGTTTCCCACCACATCGTCTAGTGTCTCCGGGCGGTACTTTTCTATCCATATGTCGATGTTGCGCTTCAGCAGTCTGTTCTTAAAGGAGTCTTCGTCCTCCATTTGGTACCGCGGTTAGTATCTGTGCAAGGGTCTCTCTGTGCGTTGCACGAGTGTACGTATGTATGCACGTACGCACGTATGTATATCCACTCGATTGCTCTACTGCGCGCGTGGGGTGGGGGCTCCCAAATGCCGCTTATTTTTTAAAGCATGGCCTTGGAAGGTCACCAAATTTGAAAGCAAAATGCGAAGAGAAAATATGAAAAAATAAAACAAAACACAAGCACACCTGGAAAATCTTCAAAGCTTGTATGGAACAACCGATAATTCACGTTTAATCATGCCATCCCACTTTTCTCTTGCAAAAGGTGCAGCAATTCAATTCGCACCTTAAAAAAAAAAAAAAAAAATGTGTGCACTCTCCCGTGCGGGTAGGCAATACTGATATGTATACTTTACGCGCATGTGTGCGTAAGCGATTACGCCCGTGAAGGCGTGTATATGTATCTCTTTTTTTTTTTTTTTTCTCAACTGTTTTCCACTTTGCGCTACTTCCCAGATTGGTAACACCTTTTGCGCGGCACTTTTCAAGATAAACAAGTACTTGAAATTATGCCCATAAAAAAGGAAAACATAATGTGGCATCTACATTGGACAAGCATTAATGGTTAGATAATGCTGCCTGAAAGGTGTTCCCTCGAAATGGAAGCATACGTTGGGGAAAATACCAATTGAGGATTCCCTGCTCCCCCTGTTGGTGAATTATTCATTTCACAGTAGGTGTACCCCCACACACACATGCTGCCAATTTTGTGTGACCTGTTTTTTTCGGCGACAACATGATGATACTATTGGAAAGACAAAAAAAAAAAAAAAAAAACGAATTGTGAACTTATCTTGCGTCAGAACAAGGGAAACCGCTATGACCCAACAGCGTAACGGCGTAACTGCGCCGTTGACAGATCGAATTGGATAATAGGGGGCCCTGCAATAATGCTCCCCCTACACAACTTTAAGCAAAGTGTTAAGCAACCCCATACACAAAAATAACAACAATAAGGTAAATAAATCGTCTTAAATGAGAAAGACTCCACTACGTCAAAAAGGTTACGCATGCTCACACGTTAAAAGGGGATTAACTGGGATGTACATTAAACAGATTAATTTTGGCTAGTCAAAAAAAAAAAAAAAAAAAAAAAAAAAAAATTGTTAAATGTGCAGGCAAAAAGGCGAAACACATTTTTAAAAGAATTAAAGCAAAACGGCAAACATCCACATGGAGCGTGCTTCTTACAAAATCATAGCACATTTCATCAAATGTGCTAAAATGGGTGTATCAAACGTGGCGTCATTTTGTTAACAAGGCAGACATTTCGCCATAGATCGGTGCAAAACATCGTATACTCCACTTTATATGTGTTATTCCTTTTTAAAGGAGAACAATCTGAGGGACCCAAAAAAGATAAGCCCTCCAAAAAATAAATAGAGGGACCGAAAGCAGCATCCCTTGTAGAATGTCATATATCCTTCTTCCGCTATTTCTGTGACAGTTTCTATATAGGATTTTCCCTGAACAGTTTTGTTTTTTATGGGGGGGAGTAGGATAACAATGTGTTTAAGCACAGCAAAGGGGAAGACACGTGCACGCAAATGCATGTGGACATGTGCCTGTACACATATTGACTTTTTTTTTTTTTTTTTGCGGTTGCACAAATTTCCTATTCATACATATATAATTTGCCTAGACTTTATCACATCCATGGGGGTAGTTAAAAACCCGGCGATTCCGCCTGAAAGGAATGGAATGCAAATGGTACAGGTGTCATTCCGGTTACCCCTCTTAAGTAGACAAAGCGCATAATGCGTAACGCAAAATGGGTAGAAGGTATGTTTTAAGCATAATTAGTCGAGCGTGCATTCACCACTGTCCCTCGCTTCCCCCTTTTCGCCAACCTGCAAGTCCTCCGCATATGGCAGACGTTATGGAGGGATATTTTTTGGAAAATTTGCCAAAGTCTGTAAAAGTGAAAAAGGGGTACAGGAGGGGTAGGATGTAACACACAGGTGTATGCAGTCTGTGATTCGGCTCCCCCACCTCGACGCGTATCTACTTTTTTCAGCTCGCCTTGCCAGTCCGTTGTACCTCTCTTGGCCTTTTCCTTAAAGGTCTCCCACAGAAAGTACTGAATGCAATCAAAGGGAATTTCGCGCACAATCATAACGAAATAACTTTTTCCCAAAAACGACATCAGGCCTTCCCGTTGCGTGACGTCGTAGATGGCGCTCATCACTGAGCTGCTTCCAGACACCTGCATTTTCTGCTTCACTATTTCGAATGGCAATCTGTCAAGAAAAAAAAAAAAAAAAAAGAGGTTCCTCATGTCGCGGTGGAAGGGGAGGTACCAGCTGTCCAGGCCAGTCAATGTGCTTTCCAATTCTGTTCCCATTTTTTTTTTTTGCGTCTCACCTCACGGCACATGCTGTAACCTCCGCCACGCTTGTTGAAATTAAGTACAAATTCGTTTTGCTGATATTTTCTCTATTTTCTACGCAGGATGGGAAAAAATAAAAAAAAAATAAAAATAAACAAATAAATTCCCCTGAAAAGTTATGGCCCCATTTTTTCTGTCACCCCCGTTTGTTCAGAATTGAGAACAACGAAACGAGAACAGGTCACCAAAGCAACAACTCATGGGTGTGTGTGCAACGGATACAATTTGAGGGAACGTCAAAATGGATACAAGGTATCAAGTTGCTATGTTTTTTTTTTTTTTTTTTTTAAAGTTCAATTTTAAATGCACACAATGCCACTTTTGGGGAGGGGAGAAACAAAAAAAAAAAAAAAAAACATACCTGTCAGTAACTTTTTGGATAATTCATAAAAGCAGTAAAAGACAGCGCTCGCTGGAACTGTGCCAACTAGGGTTGGCAAAATCCCACTGTACAACTTCTTTATATCAGAAAATGAAAAGGCCTTTTTTGCCTGTGCATTCGTTTTTATGCTGTCAATGGGGTACAGGACGGCGTCAACGGCGACGCCGGATAGGGCTCCCGTCACCAAATTCTCTGTTAAAGCGGGGGGGAGGGGGGTAGCACGAGGTGCCATGAAAACGGGAACGTGTGACATGTGGTGGACATGTAGCCAAACGTTTATATGGGTCACCCAGTGTGCAGGTGTATCTCCCCTCGGTGGTCTGATTAAGTCTATCTTGTTAAACGCATGTGCAATTTTGTTTTTCCTCTTTTTTTTTTTTTTACGCAAGTGCTCCATGAGTGGTACTGCTTCAAGAGGGAGGACGCAAAATAAGGCTTTATCACTAAGTCACTGGGACAAATAAAAGGAAGAATTACAGCCTAATACGGTGCAGAGTCATCTGATGAACAAATTTTCCCCGTAAATTTTTTCTCCCATCATGTGGGTGTATAGTCATTAAAAAGGCATCTTCCTGCTGGGGCGCAAAGTATATCACTTCGGAGGACGTACACATCAGCAACGAGTTAGATCAGTTTACACGTTGTAACATGTTTCCCACCGATTAGCATCTTCTGCAAAAGTTTCAACAGGTGTGTGTATGTGTTCGCCTTTTCGCGCTTAAAATGCTATGTTGCCTTATGTTTCGCCAACTAAAACATGTTGGAGTGGTTCATTCGTGGGGAATCGTTCGAAGAAGGGCACCGAAACAATCGATTCGTCCACGGAAAGCGGTAGAACGGGACGCATAAAATGAAAGAAAGGAACCCCTCCTGGCCCGTGTCATAAAACCACTATTCTACATTTCTGTTTCGTTTCTTTCCCTGACGCGCTCCAAAAAAAATAATAAAATATGCGCCAGGTGGACCCATCTCCCCCTGTGGCAACAGGTCCTCATTGTATAAGTGCAAAATGCCAATCGAAGAAGATTACCAACCTGTGGCAGATTTCTATCCATGGAAGAAAAAAAAAAAAAAAAAAAAAACACACATTGAAAAACTTGCAAAAAAAACAAAATCACAAAAGGGGAAAAGAAGAAAAAATGAAAAAGCTAGACAACTATTTGATTAACCAAGAGAACGAATTGGATTCCCAAGAAAACTATTCCCTGTTTAGCAAATTTAATGCTAATGCGGATGACCTTTTTTACAACCCCCAAGATGATAAAATGGCAACCCACTTAATAACCAAAAAGGCAGAAGGAAAGAATGGTGAAGGTAAGGATACTCCAGTTAAGGACAACTTTGTCGATTCTTTGAATTCACTCAAATTTAAAATTAAACAGGAAATTCAAGAAAACAACAATCTGTTGTCTCTGCAAACGCGTAAGCAACTAACACAGACCAGTAAAGAACGGCTGCAAGGCAACTACAACTGGGGGACACACAAAATAACTACCCCAGGGAATAACTACAAAAGGGCCCTTAAAAAGACAAACGCTTCGAATAAAGAAGAGTTACATAATGTAAAAACCAAAATGAAGAAAAAGATAAACAACTGTGAAGCGGAAGCATGTATTAGTGCTAACTGCGAACAAACGTGTAGCACTTCCTTCCCACACCAAATGGCAAGTAAGGACAAGGGAGCAAACGCACTTGCAGGCAATTCTGCACAAATAATCGACGATGCCTTTTTCCAAAAAGACGAATTATTTGCACAAGGGGAAAGTAACACCTTAGTGTTCGGGAAAAACAATTTTGAAAGTATTAACAAAGTTGTTGGAGTTTCCATGAAGGAAAACGAGCAAGGTAAAAATGGAACAATGCGCGAAGCTGAAAAGACATTATCTGCCAAATTTAACCAGAAATGCCGAAACGAGCAGCCTATTTTGAACCAATCGAAGGAATCCTGCGTAGATGATTTTTTTAAAGAAGAAGAAAATAATCAAGACAATCAGGTGGCGTCAGAGCAGAATGACCAAAGTGACATTCGAGGAGGCTCTGGAAGTCGTCTTCGCACTGCTAACCAAGACGACGTTGGCCACCTTACAGGAAGCACGAAAGGGGCAAATGCAGGCGGGAAAAATATATCCACTCCAAGTGATGTAAACCCAGAGTTGGACTTTTTCCAGGATGGAGGGACTTCCTTAAAGGAGGACAACTGTTTTGATTTGTTCTTTAACGAACCCATGGCAACTCCAACCATATTTCAGAGGAGAAAGCATTAGCTTCAGCAATATACCTACGTATTATTCCTCCTTTTAATGCTCCATTCTTTGACCCCCCCCTTTTAATCTCCTGTTTTTTTTTAATGCCCATGTTTTTGTTTTCCACTTTATATTATGCAAATGTAAAGGCCAATTTTGTACCTACAAGTTTCTTTAACGTAAGGCATTTGTTTGTAACCCCCGTGATACACCTATGCAACACATACGCATGAAAAGCTTTAATCACAGCACACGTTTTTGCACTTGAATCGACGTGTGCGCCGCCCCCCTTTTTTTTTGTATTTGAAAACGATAAAAACCAGTTGATATTATATTCCACGTTTTTGTGGATAACTTTTCTCACATCGAATTCGGAAGCCTTGATTTAGGTGCACCATACTTCACGCTGTTGTTGAAGGGAGCCACTTTCACAAGCGTTCCGATCACACTCCTGAAGATTACTCCCATTTGCGCTGTTTCACAAGTGTGACATAAAGCTCCTGGGTAAATATCTTTACAAGTGGCCCATTTGAGGAGAGGGTCACCTTGGCTGATATACACTGCTGGGGCGTTAAATAGAAGTCCATTGAAGGTGGCAATATTTTTTACTTTTCATTCCACGTATTTTTACTTTCTATGTGGCGTAGTCGAACTGGAGGTGAAGATGGCACATGGGCTGCTTAAAATTGTGATAAGGGACGATTTTTTAGCATTTGCAAAGTTAAAAGTTGCTTTCTAAAATAAACCGAGCGATAAAATAATTTTTGTGCTGATAATAAAGCGCTAATTGGGGAAAATAAATCGTGTTGCCCGCGGCACACCTTTTCAGTGTCATGCGTACGCATACATTTTGGGGTACTTTTTTGGGCACTTTTTTTGGGTACTTTTTTTGGGTACTTTTTTTGGGTACTTTTTTTGGGTACTTTTTTTGGGTACTTTTTTTGGGTACTTTTTTTGGGTACTTTTTTTTCCGTTCACTTTTGCGTACTGCAGGTTACGGGCCAAACGTCACGCACCACATGCAAACTGCGCAAGAGGGGCGACTCACTGCCCATGAGTAATTACAACATTGGCTGAGGCAGTGAAATTACGCCTTTACGACATCCCACGCGTGACCCATAAGAATGAAAATTTAGCAAAGACATTTTGAGTTGGCATTTTACCGTAAAATGGTGAACGAATTGCGAAATGCTTAAAATGAATAAAAACTCGGGAAAAAAAAAAATTGGCGTACGTGTACGCGTTTTTTTTTTAATTATAATGCAGCCCTATTTTTTGCATGCAACCATTTGAAAATTTTGCTCATGGCGCAAATTTTCGTCTTGTACGCAACAATGCCTGCTGTTGTGTATAAAAGCGGCAATTTGAAGGTCGAACATGTGGTCAGCGTGTATCTACAAGGAAACCACTTAGTGTGGGCAACAGGATAAACACTTTTGCACGTCCCTACGTATACACCTATGCACGTTCATAAGAACTCATGGTCGACCTGCGTTACCTTCCGATGGCTTTGTTTCGCACAAAGGACTTGGCAATTTTGAAAGCGTGTACGCACCAAGTATGTACGTAAATAAAAATAAAAATAAGTGCCACTATTCTGTGCATCCATGTGAACATAAGTGTAATGTACATGACAAAATATACTAAAAAAAAAAAAAGTCTTACAATTGTGAATTCATTTTTTTTTTTCCCCGTATCGTCATGAGATACACTATCAAGCATAACCAGTTGTGCCCTTTTAACTAATCAAATTTTGGCTGTCACAGTTTTAACCCCTTTTTTGGTTAATAAATCTGTGATCTACATTCTTTCATTGGCTTAAGTATGAACATCTTGCGTCAGTAGTGATTTTCACGCAATTACTACTTTGTGCATACGACATTGAAGCGTTTCATTTTTGCTTTATTCCACCTGTCCGTCACGCATCGCTTCGAACATTTCTCGTTTTCCTTCATTCCATACGTGATTGTGGCTAAATGTACATGTAGAGCGACGAGAGCGAGCCCGCGAAGCGTTTTCAAGGAAACGCGGAAATAATACACTTGTGCAAGGAAATTACGAAAACAACCGGGCCACTTGCGCATTGTGGACGTTTTTGTGCATATTAAAAAAAAAAAAAGGCTCATATTGGCAAAAATTATGAATAAAATTTGTGCTAAAAACTACACACAAATTTTATCAATAAATTACACACCAAATATGAGCATTTAAGAAAAAAAAAAAAAAAAAAAAAAAAAACAGCTCGCTACACGTAAAACTGTTGCATTGGCTACCTATAACGGTGACCGCGTGGCGTTTTTTTTATGAACAGTTCAGAATTTTTTTCTTTTGTATACATAAATGCATATATATATAAGTGTGCGAAAGTAAAAGATGCCCAAATGTACAAATATGTATATATATAAATACATAGATATATATGAGTACAAATGTATATATAATATATGCAATCTACACGTATGGTGGCATGCACCAGACGAACTTTTACACACAAGCTAGCTAACCACGCAGCGAAATCACTAAATTTTGCTGTACGGACGAGTGTACCTGTTTTTTTTTTTTCCATGAAGCGTAGCACATATTTTTGCTGTACGCTTGATCACGCATGGGTGAAAAAAAAACACAAAAAGCTCTAAGGTGTACACGCGTTAGCACATATGTATGTACTTTGTTCTTCTTTCGTTGGCATGTCCATTAATTGAACTTCTTCTATTTGTGATTCTCCCATTTGGGCTTCCCCGAATTGTGCCCCTTTTTGTACACATGTACATACCCCCGTTTCCGTTCATGGCATTTTTATTAATCCACATGCCCCCTGACCATTTTTAACCGCATCGCGATGTCATTTTTTTTTTTTTTTTAATTTTGTGTGCCCAATTTTTTGACACTGTACTCCTTTTTTTTTTTTTTATTTCTATTTTAACATTTATTTATTATTTTCCATTTTTATATTTTTCTTTTAAGCATTATACATTTTTTTTTTTTTTTTCTGTTTATTGTATTCTCCTGGTTTATTTCACATTTTCCTCATTTTTTTTTTTTTTTACCACGGTTTTGCATCACCTGCAAATCTTAGAAAAGTGGAACATTTCATTTACAACAGTTTTTTTTTTTTTTTTTTTATCATATGTTATATCATAAAAAGAGGAAGAAAGATACATTCCTTTGAAATCTTTGCAAAAGAGTAACAAGGGAGTAGGCATGTGTTTTGCTGTGTAATTGTCGTTTGTATTTTTTTTTTTTTTGCACAACAGCACAATTTTATCTGCAATGTTATTTCTATTTCCATGTATGCCTATTATACACATAAGTATGTAATCGCATTTGTACATTTGGATAAGCGTCTAAAGTACGTAGTAATAACATACTTTAACATTACATTCTCCGGCATGTGCTGGCATACGTTCGCATATGTATGCTTTCGAGTCCATGCATAAATGAGGAACACACAAATTGCTTAATTCATGTACCATCACCACCACATTGCGCTTTTTTGTTATAGTGGCACCACCCAGTCGTTTTACCTGCCGTGCGGAGGCTTTTTTTTTTTTTTTACACATACATTTAAACGCTGAAGTGTTTAAAGTTGTAATTTATATTCTTCTTTTTTACATTTTAGCGTTTGCGTTCATTTGAGAGAAAGCAAAGAATACACCTGCGTACTGCAGTGTGTCTATTTTATTTTTTGTCAAACAGCACGTGTGGGTTGCAGTGTTTAGCAGTTGCAACTCTGCTTGCGTTGGCGTTAGCACTTGTATTATCGTATTAGATAGCATTTTCATTTTCGTTAGCGCCCGTACATCAGTGCAACGGGTGATCAGTCCACGTGTGCATTCATCCATAGGGCGTGCAAACGAACCACTGTGCAACAATTTTGCAAACAATTTTGTGTAAATAAAATTTTGTATTTCGGAAGTGATAACTCCATCATTTTAAGAGGGGGGAGACCGAAGTACGTATTCACCCTAATCACCACACAGATAGCAAGCGTACAGTCAGCAATTCTCTGATGCCTTTGCAGTCAACAGTGGAACATCGTGGTGTCGTACACGCACGTATGTGAGCCTGCATACATGTTTGTATTATCCTGGCGCATGCGCGTGCACGTGCTCACTGTTATCCCATTCCAGCCCCTTTTTTTTGACGCTCATGCGAGTATATATATGTATGAATGTATGCATATGTGTTCGCGTGCATCCAACATTTTTAATAAAAAGTAACGTAACTCATATATGATTCATAACGCAACAGTTTTTTGTAAACTGAATTCCTTTCCATTTAGCGCACAAGTCCCATAGACACTACAAGCGCTTTTATGTTTGCATATGTTACCTGTCCCACGAAGGAAAGATATACATGTATCACACGTTTTATGCAAAACAGATGTGCATGCGCACGTTTAACATATGCACCAATTTCATGTCCGCGTACTTTGAACAAAGAAAACACAACGTGGCACAAATTTGGCTTTATGTAGAACGCAGCATGTGTATGCAGAAATGTGTAGCATTTTTCCAGCATTCGTTATGTGAAAATTGTTACATATATTTGTAAACGAGGAGTGATCACTTTATTATTTATTTTAATTTTTTTTTTTTTATTTATGTTGTGACGAACCGCGCAACAACATCTGCCATTTTTGTATCATAAGTGAGTGAACCTTTTAATGCGCAAAAAAAATAAAATAAAAAATAAACAAACAAATGAGCTAACGATCGTATTCGTGTAGCGCGTGCCATTGAGGGAAAAAATTTTTAGTGTGAAAAAATATATAGGAGGGAAAATAAAATGTAAGAGAATTTTTTTGCCTGCCTGCTCACATTTTTTGCCAAAGATTTGTTCTAATGCACAGCTTCTGCTATTGTGCGCCAGGTCCCTTCCACCGATGTTCAGCGCCGTGGCGGGTCACGCACGTATGCTACATAGGATGTGCTCGTGTAAATGAATTTTTTTTTTTTTTT